GAGGGGTACTGGCAGGGGTGGGGGGGGCTGTGGGTTGGGAGTGAGGGGCAGGGCATCGGCATATCGGGGCTGCTTAGCATCACAAAGGAGCAGAGGGGATGGGACAGACAGCTGCAGCTGGCCCCATAACCTGGTGAGCAAAGGGGGTAGGGGGAGCTCTGATTTTCTATGACAAAAAACCCAAAATCAAATGCCAAAATACATAGGCATTAAATTTATTTTATTATAATGATTGAGGTGCACTGATAGGCTTCCAAATTGCTTTAAAATTGTAATAAATGTGTTCAACTCTCTCTCTCTTTCTCTCTCTCTCTCTCTCTCTCTCTCTCTCTCTCTCACTCACACAGAGTTTGTTTCATTTTAATTGCAGAAAAATGCAGATTTGGGGTTTTTAATCAGAGAATTTGGTATTTCCCCCCCTTTAAATCAGAGAATTTGGGCTTCTTAAACAGAGAAAACTAGGATCCCTGTTTCAGTGATAGCTTAAATGCTAGGAACGGTAGCCACATTAGCATATCACTGATAAGCTAATGTGGCTACTGTTCCTAGCACATAAGCTAGTTAGTCAACAGCTAGCTCAGATTCTCTGCATAGCACTAAATTATAATGTGTAGGCATATCCTAACTAACATTCTTCCTGCAAATCTCATCACAGAAGCAAAGCAATGGAAGGTAAATATGTTTTGTTTGTTTTGATAGAGTTTAAAATTACAGTTAGAAAAAAAGATAAAATCTATCTTCAATCTTTTTGGCGATATACAGGTACTTTGTTTCTGTTGCTTCTTTCCTGGTACAAAATAGGAGCGCACAAACATTCATTTAATTTCTCCCAAAGGAAAGATGCCCCTTCTGGGAGAAAGTTCTTCAAGATTAAAACCTGGAAGATCTTCCTGGCAGGAGAGTTTCTCTCACAAGGGTGAATGCTTGTACACTGTTTCACTCCCTTCTGGTCTGGTTTGGGACAGGACTAGAGTAATTGTTTGGTTCCCAACCTCTTCCCCAGAGTGGGGACGGTCTAGTCTCAGGAATGGGTTGTGGGGGACTTGTCCCACTGCTCCAGTTTGGTCTGGGGACAGCCTGATTTGGGGAATAGCCCAGAGGCTTTGTCCCACTGCTCCAGTCCTCACCTGGCTCAGTCCGAGAAGGGAAGGGAGTAGCTACTGTTGCTCCTTCTTGTGCTTCCTCAGATCAGGGACTGCTTGGTCTGAGGAAAAGGCAGGGGGCTTTTCTCCACTGCTGCACTCCCCTCCTAGACCGGTCCAGAAGGGAGGTGGAGCAGTGGGGCAATGCTCTCCACCTCTTCTCCAGACCAGCCAGTCCCTTGTCTGGGGAACTGGCTGGGGGTTTACCTAACTGCTCCACTCCCTCCCTGCTCTTGTCTGTGGGAGGGCAGTGAAGCAGTAAGAAAAGACTCCTCATGTTTCCCTAGATTGAGGACCCCCAAGTTTTGGGAACAGATGGACAGTCTTTCCCTGCCACTCCACTCCCTCACCCTGGGAACGGGGGGTGGGGGTGGGGGGGTAGAACAGCCACTACTTCCTGCAAATCCACCATTTTGGGACCACCCCGGTCTTGGGAAGGTGTGAGGAGCCAGTGAGAGGGGACAGTTGTAAGCTCAATGCTTGTACTACTGCCTCTTCCGGACACACTCCAAGCAGTGGAAATTTCTGAGAAATTAGAACTCACCACCTGTTCGTAGCCTTTGTTTAGGAAAACCAAACCAAGTTAAAAGCAATCTGTTCGTATCTCAGCCCTTTCCCTGGGGGTTTTCACAGACTTGTATGCACTGTTGCTGCATCAGGTAATGATGCTGGGGGACTGAAATATGCCATACCACTGCCGTCCATACTCAAGTGTGCAGGCATACTCCAAACTGGAAATACGTTAGTGAGGCTGCCTGAGGCTTGTCCCTCTTCAGGACTCCTGAGTCCTTGCTCTTCAGCAGGCTTGAAAGTGGATACAGGAGGTGAGCAACCCTATTGGACAATGTATGGATTTGAAGCATGTCTATAGATTTTTTGGTAGGATATGTTTAAACCCCTAGTGCTGGGACCAGCTACTGTAGCAGGATAAGTCCTAAAAGTTCTTAGATGACTGTCTTTCCTCACTTGTATGTCTTCTTCTGACCTATTACCATAATATCTAAGCATATAACCTGCAACCAGGGGCAGATTCAGGATTTCCCAAAGCGGGTGTGGTAACAGCAACATACACTACAGGTTGCCTGCTACTGCTTTTTCCACTGCTCCAGGGCAGGGATGCTCCAGACCCAGCTAAACTGAACAGGTGCTGAGCTCAGCTGGGAGGGGAACAGTGCCAACGATGTGGCAGGAGAGTAGTTCTCTCCAGTGTGCCCAGAGCAGGCCCAGAGAAGGGGAACACCTTTGCTGCTGTTGTCCCTATCCCCAGCTGAGCCCACCCCTGTGCAGCAGGCAGGAACAGCTTTGGGGTTTCTCTGTCCCAGGACATCAGGGAAAGTCAGGCGGAAAGAGGGGGTGTGCTTTTGAGGATATTCACATGTTCTAGGGACTTCTAAAAATCCCATGGTGCAATCAAAAAGGAGTGGTGCAGCCACACCACTGCACCCCCCTCTGGATCTGCCCTTGCTTGTAACACTTCTCTCTCCCTTCCTTCCTGTTGCTTAGGACCTTCAGCAGCTATGTCTCCTTCTGACAGTCCAGTGAAAATTTTATCATACGCTAAATAAAACTCCATAATATATAGAAAAATGGAAATATTTTATGCAGTTTTTGTGTCCTTGGCTGCATGCCACACACGATTAAGTCAGCAATTATGTATCTGTACAAAGAGCCAGGGCAGACCACAAGTGCTGGCCAGGCACTCTGTACTGAAGGTTGGCAGCATACTCTTGGGTCTCAGTTGTGAAGTGCCTCCATCAGTGCTGAGCCACAAAGATTCACAGCTTGTCTGCATCTGAATGTCCATGCAGCTGATTGTTCACTGGATTAAATCTTTCTTTTTGATTCTTGTTATATTGGTTGTAAAGACAAATGCTTGTCTTTTATAGCTGTAATCTGTCCAATTTTAGGGTAAGATTTTTTTTCCCCTTAGTCATACTATATTGTATATGTACTTGCAAGTCAAATATTTTACAATTAAATATAGATTGTACATTAGCTTTCACTGTGTGTGTTAGGATTATATGTGATAAATATATAGATATATTTCCTATATGCACTTATGAGACTTATTATTTTGCTCTCTGGCGGATGTGATAGTGTCTGCTAAAGCTTCAGTTGCTTGAAATACTGGTAATTCTGAAATTAGTTACTTTGGAAAGAAAATATAGTTTTGTACTGCATTTGTCTGCAAAGAATTCTCAATTCCTGCACAATACGTTTTCTACTGATTATAGCTACAAAGCCACCTGACTGATATGGACCTTTGTCTGTTGCAGGCTCATGCGCTTGAGGCTGACCTGGAGAAAGAATTCCTGGAAGTTGCCTTCATGTGTAAAACGGTGCTTTGTTGTCGAGTCACTCCTTTGCAAAAATCACAAGTTGTGGAGCTGGTTAGGAAATACAGGAAAGCAGTCACCTTGGCTATTGGGGATGGAGCTAATGATATTAACATGATTAAAAGTGAGAGCATATTTTACCATAAAATTCTATTAAAAGCATTAATGCAAATATGAATGGTATGCTAAGGTTTGCCTGATAATGAACTGATATTTATATGTGAATCTTTCCAGGCTGTCCCATTGCTTAGCACAAGAACAAGGCACAACGGTATTTCTTTATCTTGGGCTCTTCTGTTAAATCTAAATAAATAACATAGTTGAATGAACTGGGGATCCCCTATTGGCTTACCTTTGATCCTGATAACAGAGAATTTCTGATTTAACAGATGATGCCCATACTTGAACATGTACCCATACTTGAAATGGTTCTTTAATTGCTTTACTTGCTCATTGACTCTGGGGGGATTTGGTGGCAGATTACAAATATCAGGGGAGAGCATCAGGGGCTAGGCGAACAACTCTTCACCAAAGCTGCCCAGCGGAAGACCAGGAGCCAAGATCATAAACTACTTGAAGAAAGTTTCAGGCTGGATAGGAGGAAAAACTTCTTTAGTGTTCATGTGACCACTCTGGAATAGACTTCCTGTTGAGGGGGGTGCAGGCACCTATCCTGGAGATCTTCAAAAGGAGAGTGGACACATACCTTGCTGGGGTTATTTGGCCCCAGCAGTCTTTCCTGCCCAGAGCAGGGGGGCTAGATTAGGGGTGTGTGAGGCAGGCCCTATTCAATTTGGATTTGGCCCAAATCAGGGACAGTGACTCAATTTGTTGATTCGGATCACCATCCCTGATTCAATCTGGCCAAATCCAAATCTGAAGATTCAATGCTCATTTAGAGAATCAGCGATTCGGGCACAGACACAGCTTTTAAAGCTTTTTCTACATACCTCAAGGTATCAGTGTGGTTTGTGAATGCTGCGATGCTAGGGCAGATGGAGTACCCCACAGGAGTGGGGAGGGGGCCCCTCTGCGTGCTCGGTGGCAGACCTGGAAGTGGACCAGAATTCCCTCCCCCCCAGACCCAGGAGGCACCTGTCGCCGAACCAGGGAGCCACGGTGGACCCAGAAGTGGATTGGAAGTGCTCTTGGTCCACTTCTGGGTCTCCTGCTGAGCGCTCTGGGGAGCCCCCCCACGCTTCTGTGGGACACTCCAGGCGCCCCAGCATCGCAGCAGTCATGAGCCGCCTGATACCTAGAAAAAACATTTGAAGCTGTGTCTATGTCCGAGTCTCAATCTTTCCAAATCGATTTGGAGGGTTGCAATTTGACTGAGAGAGATTAAAGGGTCTTCTGATTCAATTCAGATTTGGAGATTTGGCCACTGAATCGGGTCAAATCGAATCAGGGCCCAAAGCTTTGCACAGCCCTAGATTGGACCCAATGATCTCATGAGGTCCCTTCCAGCTCTAAACTTCTGGGAATCTGTGAATATTAAATGAAATGACTCTATGAAGAGCCTGCCTGGCTGTTGCAAAAAGGAAAAAAATACCCAGTATAAAATTGTACTATCAGCTGCAGGGCCTCACAAAGTTTCAGCTGTGTTGTAATATTGCCACCCTTAAGAGAGTTAAGTTTTATCAGAGTTTTCAAGAGCCTGGAGAAAAATTTTTAAAACAGTTCTGCTTTGGTAAACACACTCTGGGAGAGGCCAAGAATTTTTGAAGAGTAACAAAGCACAATCAGTCTTTGAACATTCCAAAGACAGGATTTCTCTATCTGAGTGCCACTTAATCATATGCAGACATCCCAATTAAGCAGATTTAATGCCACAATTAAGTAGAATTCCTTAGTATTAAGTATCATTAGGTTTAGGTACCAGAGGAAATACACCAGTAGAATGGCCTGTCAAGGAACTGTATAGTGCGGTATGCCAGTGTAGATGCATCTTACAGTTTGCAAAGAGTGCATGGCAAAGTATAATGTGCAAGCTAGCTTTAGCAACTACTATAAATTAATTTATTGTATTGTCAATTACTTTGAACTCCTTTGTACATTGTATATTGCCATGAAGTTTCTTCAGTAAATACACTGCATTTACTTGCATACCACATACATGTTCCTCCTCAAAATCAGTCCTCCAGATTTGGCATGTGTTTTGAGAGAGCTGATTTTACGTTGCTGTAATAGAAGCAGAAGATCCAGATGCTGTGTTCTAATGGCTGCCAAAATGGCTGCTGCTTTTCTCTGGCCCTAGCAAGCAGAAGGGTCACAGCATTGTGTCAATCCACTCAGGCTACAGTGTTACTGTTCATTGCCGCTTCAGCTGTGCTGGGATGTGTCCGTCAGGTTAGGTCCTTGCTATTCCTGGGGCTTCAAGAGCCCAATTCTGGAGGACAATGGCCCTGGGTGCTGTGCCCCAACCTGGGGCAGTGCAGCTTGGAAGTGCTCCCCAGGAATCTCCTGTAGGGGATTTGCAAGGCTTGCATTTTGCTGCAGAACACACATCTGCAAGTGCGGAGGGGGGATCCTGTTGGCAGGTGTTCCTGGGCTTCAGCAGCCCAATTCTCCATGCCCCACTGGGGGATTTTTGGGATGTGAAGGATTGGGCCCCACAAGTCCCTGCCAGTGGAGTTCTCTGGGAGTTTCCCTTTTTGCAGATTCATGTAATTGGGGTGCAGCAATGCAATACTTAGTCCCAGGGAGCTCCCTGCAGGGAATTCCTGGGCCTTGCTTTGCGAACAGGGGAACCCTGCAGGAAATCAGGCCCCTGGAGCCCCAGTAGCGCCTGCCTGTGGTAACTGGAAAGCATGGGCAACTCTGAGCTGCCTGTGATCCTCACTGTAAAACAAAAAGATGTCTGCCGCAAAAAAGCTGCATAAATTTATACCACCTGTCGTCACAGCCACAATTTTGGGTGAAATAAAAGGCACGGACATCCGTTTGCTTTGATTTTGTGCTGCCATAAAAGTTATGGCAGCACATAGGCACCATCTGTTTCCAGCCTCACAGTCTCAGTACCTATTGACTGAGCAGTGTGGTTCATGCCATTGCAAGAGTTGGGTGCCTAGTAGGGGTGTGCGATGTGGGCCCTATTTGATTTGGATTCAGCCTGAATCAGGCACAGTGATTTGATTAGTTGATTCAGATCACTGTCCCTGATTTGATTCGGCCAAATCTGAATCTGAAGATTCGGACACAGATACAGCTTTAAATGGCAGGGCTAACTGGACCTTGTCGTGCATCCACAGGTGCATCTCTAGCAGGGCCAAGGAGGTGATCCTCCCCCTCTATGCAACACTGGTCAGGCCACAGCTGGAGTACTGTGTCCAGTTCTGTGCGCCACACTTCAGGAGGGATGTGGACAACATGGAGAGGGTCCAGAGGAGGCCACCCGCATGATCCGGGGACAACAGGGCAGACCCTACAATGAGAGACTGCGGGACCGGAACCTGTTCAGCCTTCACAAGAGAAGGCTGGAGGGGGGACCTGGTGACAGTCTATAAGCTCACTAGGGGGGAGCAGAAGGGTTTGGGAGAGACCTTGTTTCCCCTAGTGCCCCCTGGCATAACAAGGAATAATGGCCACAAGTTGTTGGAGAGGAGGTTTAGATTAGGCATCCATAAGAACTACTTCACAGTCAGGGTGGCTAGGATCTGGAACCAACTTCCAAGGGAAGTGGTGCTGGCTCCTACCCTGGGGGTCTTTAAGAGGAGGCTTGATGCCTACCTAGCTGGGATCATTTGAGCCCAGTGTTTTTTTCTCCTGCCCTGGCAGGGGGTTGGACTTGAAGATCTATAAGGTCCCTTCTGACCCTACTTCTGTGATTCTATGATTCTATGTTTTTTCTACATACCTCCAGGTACCAGCATGACTCATGAATGCTGTGATGCTGGAGTGGATGGAGCATCTCACAGGAGCAGGAGCATCTCAGCAACAGACCCGGAAGTGGACCAGAAGCAGTTCCAGTCCACTTCCAGGTCCAATTGGCAGTACATTTAATATGCATTGTACAGTCTCCTCTCATTCTCAGTTACTTAGGAAGGGTTAGCCCAGATGAAATACTGGAAGCCTGCCGTGCTCCTGTGGGACACTCCATGTGCACCAGCATCTCAGCATTCACAAACCGCCTGCTACCTAGAGGTATGTAGAAAAAACATTTAAAACTGTGTCTGTCTGAATTGCCAAATCTGTCTGAATCTCTCCAAATTGATTCAGAGGGTTCCAATTTGATTTGGAAAGATTAAAGGGTCCTCTGATTTGATTCAGATTCAGAGATTTGGCCACCGAATCAGGCCGAATCTCCACTGAATCGAATCAGAGACCAAAGCTTTGCACAGCCCTAGTGCCTAGTCTTCTTGCTGTCCTGACACACCAGCAAGTTCCTGCTGCCTCGTGCAGACCATCTTCTGGGGTGCCGCATTTCCTGGACAGTCTGTTTCCAGGAGGACTTACTTTGTTACACAATTAGCCATGACTCTGGAAAAAACTTTTTTTCTCCCCTACAGTCTGCCTTCCAATAAACAGGGAGAGGGTATGCAAGAAAATACAGTGTGTCCAGAATTCATTGATGTAACAGAAAAATAGCTAATAATGTTTGGAGTCTGATTGTTTCCAATATTTCATCTGCGTGCTGTACATATGTCAAATTCTGCAGTTTGTCAGATTCACAAATTCCAATGGGAAAGGGTGGGAGAGAGAATCCCTTTAGAAAGAATGGAAGAAACGAAGAAGTAGTAAAAAGGAGGAAGTGGTGTTGAGTGAGGAACAGAGGGATTGCAAGTGACTTGAAGATAATTGCAGTCAAAACTACTGTATATTAAAAAGAGGGCTAACCCTCCCTAAGTAACTGAGAATGAGAGGAGACTGCACAATTCATATTAATTGTACTGCCAAAGCTAATTTTAAAGTGTTCTCTGTAATTTAATAACTGCCTTACAGTTTCATTAGACCAGGCTTATATTATTACATTGTAAACAATAGTACCTTCTAATCAACATTAATTATTTCTCATTAACTAAACTGCCCTCTGGGGTAGATTAGTAAATTGACATCTTTAAAAAATAGTAGTAATAGATTATTAATAGTTTTGATAAAATTATACAGTAAAATTAATAATAAAAT